AATTGTCTATATCCTTCTTAATATGAGGTGCCTATAACTGAACACAGTACTCCAGATGAGGCCTGACCAGTGCAGACTGTTGCTTCCCTTGACTTGGAAACTGTGTTTTTATTAATACAGGCTATAAGTTAGCATTCACCTTCTTTACTGCAGCACTACACTGCTGGCTCATGCTCAATTTATGATAATCAATAATCATTTTCACATGTATTACTGCTAAGCCATGTATCCCCTGTTCTGTGCTTTTTTGTGTGTGGCCTAAATATGGTTTTTGTGTCTTTTAAAACATTAATTAATTGAACAGTCTTACCTCACAGTCTAATCAGCTAAGTGCTTGGTCTTACAGATTAATATTGACCCCTCACTAATTAATCAGCTAAATGGGTTGGCAAAGTATGGCCTGAGGTCCCCAGAACTATTTTTATGGGTCCCCAAGGGTCCCTCTACCCTGCAGCCACCCCTCAAAATTGGTGGATTGTTTTGTCCAAAAATTGACTGCAGCACCCCTGTGGGTCATTTTGCCACATTGGTGCCCATTTTGAGGGCCACCTCACCTTTGTTAGAATCACTTTCTGTTTGAAAAAACAAACATAGGGGGGTTGCAGACTGCTAGAAATAGTGCAAATTGAGTCCACTTTAAGGGTTAGGGTTAGGGATAGGGTTAGGGAATCATGGGAACTGTATTATATTGTAGCATCAGAGCTCTCTGACAGAGAAGGCTCAATGTCTCAGAAAAAAAAAACAATTCCCATGATTTCCTAGCACTAACCCTAACCCTAAAAGTGGACTCAATTGTACTATTTCTGGCAGTCTGCAACTCCCCAAACATACCCATCCAAGCCTAAAAAGAGCAATCCCCCCTGAAACAAAATGGCCCATAGCCCCCCGAGGAAAAAAAAAGTTTGATCTCCTAAATTTAGGGGTAGTGATGAAAAGTATGAGGGGTGTGTGAAAATGGGGTATGTGGCCATCTGGGATCCAGCAGGGGTGCTGGCAGACACTCTTGTTTTAGTGGATTAGCAGATTGCCTAAAGGTTGCCACATTGTGTATTTAGGTGCTCTTAAAGATAAGTATAGGACCTTATCACACGCGGGGCTCAAAGTAGCAAGAAAGCAATATAAGAATCAATCCAGAACTATACCAGTAGAAACCCCACAATACGGAAATGGCTATCAGACGCAACTAGCATTATCGCGCAATTAACGAAAGCTTGATGAAGCGCCCCCCAGGAACTGTATTTGTTGTTCACACACAAGTGAGAAGATCCCATACAGAACCCAGCAAGGATGTTCTTGCACATATGTATTTGGTAATCAGACATATGGCAAAAGCGCAATGATTGTGCTATCATTCCGATTGCGCAATTGCAATTCCCCAAGAAACCGGCATTCAAAAGAATGGGGATGATGCCGCATTGGGACGGGGTTGTGATGGGGTTCTGTGCGACGTTGTGTGAACACACGGAAAAATAAAGCGCAATAGGACGGGATTTAGTGTGGATTCTGTCTGCTTTAGACCCCGTGTGATAACGTCCGAAGTTCATCTTTCTCCAGGTCAGATGCTGTTGCAGAGATATTTAACATCAAGAATGGATCCCTGAACTGCTTCTCTTTTTTTCTCCTCCCTACCACTCCATTCCCTTTTCTTTGAACTGGCTTTCAGGGGCAATTTTGTTATTTAATTTTCCTACTGTGTTTTTTAAAAAAAATTAGATACTTTATATATAATAATAATATTGAAAACATCACCACCACCACCACCACCACCACTTTATTTATTTTCCAGGACTTATTTTCAATATTCATCTTCAGCCAAAAACTACAGTTTCTTACTGTGCATGTTCATGGAGCTTTGGTAAAAGTAAAAACCAGGCTGAACCAGTTTAATAAAAGCTGTTTTATTCTTAAAATTAGATACAAAGTCTTGCTTGAATGGTTATAATTTGCTTGCAGAGGTGTCAGATCTAGCCAAAGGACCTTCAGAAGACTGTATGGGAGAGAGATAGGACATGGATATTTTTAGGCTAAGGATGGAGAACCCATGATCCTCCAGGAATTGTTGACTATGACTCCCATCACCCCCAAATCATTCACCATAGTGGCTGTGGCAGATTGGAGCTGGCATAAAACAACATATGGAGGACTCCCAAGTCTTCACTTGTTCTATTTTCAGATAATATGCATGGCATTGCAGCACTAGTTATCATAATAGTAATGCCACTGTTCATCTATTCTGGATGTGGTTTCTTCACTCTAAATTCTCTCTAGCTAATTAGAAGTTCAAGAAAAGAAAATCATTATCGTGTTAGTTTTTTATCTGTTGGTCCATTGGTCTGTTTGTTTTTTATACAATAAAAATTTAAAAAAGAAAAGAAAATTACTATCAATATAATCTATTTCTGAATCCACAAAAATCCAAAAATCGAAAAAAAAAAAGCCTATCAGGCATTTAAAAAGCTATTGAGAATTAGATTAAATTGAAACAGTACATTTTAATAGAAATTACGATTCAGCTACTGTGATGCCTAATTTTTTGTTAGTGCCTCTAACTGTTGATCTATGAACATTATGATTGCTTGTCATGCATGCTTTTCCTCAAATTTTGAACATCCTCAAGTGAGTTCACATAGCAGATGTATTTGGCACCCAGTGTTTGAATACATGGAAGGGAATCTCATGTATTTTACTTGAAGTGAAATGTTCTGAGGACTCCAGCTTAAATTTCACCCAAATGCTCTGGGGTGGGAGGAGGGAGAGGGAAAA